ACCTGGAACCCGTTATCATCCGTCAAACATCCATGAAAGAGATGCATACGGAAGAGGTAGTGTCTGTGTTTGGGGTGGTATCTCCTTGGGTGGTCGGACAGACCTACATGTTTTTCCAAGGGGAACCGTGAATGCTCATGTTTATAGAGATGACATCCTTGATGCTTATGTGCACCCATATGCGGAAGCAACAGGTGATGCTTTCTTGTTACAGGACAACAATGCAAGACCACACAGGGCTTGCATCATATATGATTATCTTCAACAGGAAAAAATTATGGGCATGGAGTGGCCAGCTCGATCCCCGAACTTGAATCCTATCAAGCACGTTTGGGATGCTTTAGGGAGACGTTTAGCTGCTCTCAATCTGCCCCCTTAGACCCTTGCCGCACTTGCAACTGCTTTGCAAGAGCAATGGCTCTCGCTTCCTATGGAACTGATAGACCACATAATTGAAAGCATCACACATCGCTGAATATGCTGTATTGCTTCTAGAGGTGATTGATTATATTCCATATTGAAGGTACTTTTACTATAGCAAACTGACATCTTCGGTTTGTTCATTTTATACATGTGCTTATTTCTACACTACCATAATTGTGAGATAATTTCTTTTTATGTTATTTGATACCTTACTATGTGTTGTATATTGTAGGTAAGTTTCATAAAATTCTACATGTAACTTTTTCAGTAATCATGATTTTTGTGATTTTTTCTTAATTTATGATAACCAGTGTGATATCTAATTAACCGCTTGCATGATTATCCCGAGTTATCTCGAGCACATATATATATTGCAGTTAATTATTAACCCGTGAAAACTCGGGTGAAGCAAAAATTGGTACGATTTGTTTTATCATGATTTTACTTGGCCTGGAGGAAATGAAAGGAAATATTTGGCTTTGATTGGCTGTTTGCCAAATTTTGTTGGTTGCACGATTCTTTTGGAGGGACTGGTCACGTGTTTTCCTATTGTATAGTATACGTCAGCTTGTGGATTAATAATGTATAAAGAAGGATACATGCATTGGGGGAAAAAAATAATGGTAATGATGCAAGATAGCGAAAGCGATGGTTTTTCAGATACTAATTATGAAGAGGTGCAAAAAAATGAAAAAAAAAAAAATCAAATCCAAGGAGACAGTGTACTGTACTCTGTGCTTCCATGAAAGATATTCCAGCAGTAAGCCAGTAAGAAAAGAGACCAGATACCAGTGTAGAATATCAGGTATCACTTTGTGTTGTCCCTTGTTTCAAAACCTATCATACAAAGACTAATATTTAACTTTTTTTTTTGTTTACCAGAGATAACTCGGGATAGTAAACTAATATTAAAACTAAATGCTTTTACAACTTAAAAAAATTAATAATTCAACTTAAAACTTACATATTTTAATTTGTTTTGTTCCATTGTATTTAATAATAAAATTAAAAAATGTGATGATTTTTTGCAATTTTTTCAAAAAAATTTGTAAGGGAAGCAGTTAAAAATAAGGAGGTCATAGAGATGGTCTCATTGGTCTCAAGGAAGATAACATCAAGATCATGAGGACATCCATCAAAATATAACACCTTCACTACCAGCCTATTTAATTCCACAGCATACGTGTTGATAAACTGCCTGCCTAGAAGGGAGTGTAACCTGACACTTTCATTGATCTGACGCAAAACAAATAGTGATTCATCTGATATTACAACTCGTTCTCAATAATGTATGTTCTGATCACAATATTCATGGTCATAATGTGGAATTTACAAGGCGACCCAAAAGTCCGTTACCATTTGAAAGTTCAATGCCCGCCAAAAACGGAGCAGAGAAAACAAGGCAAGGCGAAAAAGTCGTGGTACAAAACATTGTGGGAGAAAATAAAGCAAAGAGAAAACATTGCAGTACTAAATCATTGTGTTACAAAATATCGTGGTAAAAAATAAAGCGGTTAAAAAACTTCGCAGTTTAAAAACATCATCGTCAAAAATATCGTGGTAAGAAATAAAGTACCTACAAATCATCACACGAAGATAACATCGCACACTTCAGGTTTTTAAAAGCAGGAAATTTCACATTTGCATAATGATTTGGAGCTCAAGAAGGAAAGAGGGATATTTTTACTTCTATACTTCATATTTTTGAATGAACTACTGAACTACTAAATTTTTGTTGAAAACAGAAGAAAAAAACATAAGTATTTAAAAATTGGAAATGAGTAGAAAATTAATGCAACTTATAGCACTTAATATAATTTTAAATTTACATAGTTAACTAACAAAGGTGATTAATAAGTTAATCTTTTTTTATTGAGATTTACTGATAATTTTTCATGAAAAATACAGTCTAAATATGTTTAGAAAAAGGAAGACAAATAACTGCATGGGGAGGATACCTCCATAAAAATTGCTTAGCTAATTATCAAATATATTTCTTTTGCATTTGTTAACATACAAGATTGAGAACGAATTGTAATATCAGACGAATCACTATTTGTTTTGCATCAGATCAATGAAAGTGTCAGGTTACACTCCCTTCTAGGCAGGCAGTTTATCAACACGTATGCTGTGAAATTAAATAGGCTGGTAGTGAAGGTGTTATATTTTGATGGATGTCCTCATGATCTTGATGTTCTCTTCCTTGAGACCAAGGAGACCATCTCTATCACCTCCTATTTAATTAGATATTATTTCAAGGAATATTGATCATATTTGGGGTGTCAGTGGAGATCTAGCTCAAAATCCACTAATCATCTTTCTGTAATTTATGAGAATTGTGTGACCTCTGCATATATATCTGCTACAGTGTTCCTCTGAACGCTTATCAAAGACCTGTAGAATTTATTGTCACAGTGGACAGCTATTTTGTATGCCAAAAGTCCAGCAACAGGGTACTAAGAGGGTTGTCATATTGTTTTGGGTGATCATTATATTTGCATATGTATACAGAGGCAGTTCACATGCTTTTTAGAATTTTTTATGTATTATAGTGAATGCTTTACACAAAAGTACTTATTTCTTAAATGTTCCATCTGATAATTTTTGGTTCGCTATAAACGCTACATCTTGAGTTTGAAGAAGTATTTCTTATGGTTAATAGTTGTATTTTGCTTCTTCTCATTTTCACTGCTTTCTAGAATCCATCAGTACCTTAGGTCTGAATTTATTAAGTATTCATTTTTTGCAGTCCCGAGGCACAGTTGTCTGTTGTTGAAACATCGGGGAAAAAAAGACTAATAATATCAAATTGACTAATGAAGGTTGAAGCTACATCCTTGTATGTTAGTTTATGTAGTTCGCTCAAAATTACTGTGGGTGGCCTGCCGGCCTTACCCCTTTAGTTATCAGTAAAGTGCTATCTTAAATAATGACCCTGTAGTTTGAACTTCACAATATATTTTAGGCATTCTTTATTCAGAAAACAACATCCTGACTAGCTATACGAGGACCACTGGCTGGAATTTAACCCTATAGTATTCTTTGATGTCTTACCAAGTTTTCCAGTGCTAAAAAGTGTCTGATATTTTCACTAAGTATGAAACTCAAAATAGTTTTCGTATTAAACTGTGTAACTTTGTGATGTGAACCAGTGTGTCCATTACCCTGTTTGCTAGAACATGCCTAGCATGTGCCATGATGGTGAAGAAGGCCCTATACCTCTCCGAAGTTTTTATTTCAGTTAAATGCCACTCTTAAGGTCTGGCTTCAACACTCGTAGTGTTTTTTCTTGCTCAAAATTATGAATTGCTATTTTTCATTTTTAACTTATGAAAAATAAATATTTTGATATACACTGCTGGCCATCCATAATGCAACACCACAAAGAAAGCATCCAATAGGCTTAAAATTTGCACAATGTGTTTAGACCTCAATAGGATATGCAAGTTATTAGCATTGTAGTGCATGTGTAAACCCTAGGCAGCACTGTAATTATATGTTTTCACATTATTTCTTTGTGTGGAAAGCTTCAGTATCCCTTGCCGATGAAGGGTAATAGTTAAGTTTCTGAGTTTGGCAGCAAAAGAGGTGGGGCTTATAGAAACTTCGAAGAAGAATTATCCTTCCAAATGTTGATGCTTATTGTACAAAATCAAGCTACAGTGGTGCAAATCTGAAATCAGTGATTACAGGAGGGTAGTATTTATTATACCTGTCTCATCACACCACTGAACAAGAAGACAGGCATGTTATGCACATGGCAAGGACAAACTATACAGCAGCGTCAAGGACCCCGTAAGAATTAGGGTTTGCTGCAAGGTAACCTGTGTCACATATTGTCTGAGGAGGGTGAATCTTTGCATAGCATCCAATGATGTAACTGTTGACCATGTTGACTTTTACCCTAGTAGTAAGCAGCTGTAATGGTGCGTTAAATAGTGCACATGGATTAACAAATAACATTGCATTATATTCTCGGATGAATTTTGATTCTCCCAACAACACCGTGATGGTCCTCTGAGTTTGGTGGTACCGCAGCCACACTATGCATCAACATACCAGCTCATCACCCAGAATTAAGGTTTAGAATGCTATTAAGTTTTACTCATGCCCTTTTCTAATATATGTCGTTATCAAATTCAAAAGCCACAGCTTCATCTCTAAAGTTTTGGAGTTTTCTGCCCTCTCTTAACTTCTAGGACTATCTGTGACTGAGTTTCAATAATATGATATACAACTAAACATGACTGTTCTCCCTTACCTTCTAGGCCTGTCTGTAACTAAGTTTCAATAACATGATATATAACTGAACATGATATGCTGTGTCCAGTAATTCTTCATTGGCTTTCAGGTAATGCTGCTGTTTTGGCTCAATCCTGCTTTCGATATGTCATTAATTGAACACATCTGGTCAATGACTGGCAAACTAGTGGCCTAACATACACCACTCACAGCTGAAGATTAATATTTGCATTAAGTTTATACATTTTAAGACAAAATAGTTTTAAAAATTTCACCATGTTCAACATATTTACAGCTGAAATTTATGTAATGTTTTATTATTTGTTCCAATTTAGATTTTATCCATATGATGAAATTGAAACAGAAGCTGTTCTTGCTATTGATGATGATATTGTGATGCTGACTGCTGATGAACTAGAATTTGGTTATGAGGTATATTGATGTGCTTATTTTGTTAAATTTTAGATACACATTTTTGAAATTCCTCATATTTATTGCAAAGGTTTTTGGCAGTTCATATTTTTTTTCAAAATTAAAAATCTGAGTTCATGACCTCTTGCCAGCTCTATGTTTTAAATAACATGAGCTTTAAGTAAAGTATCACAATACTTTCCATGAAGCTCGTTGCCATTTAAAATATGGAATTCATTGATTATTCATAAATAAAATGTAGCATGTTTATAAACTTTATGTCTAGATTATAAACACTATTCGTTTTTTATTATCCTATTCTGTGCAATGGAAAATGATAACTATGCATTAATAGGTACACATCTGTTCTTATACTTATATTTGAAACATATTACATCGATTCCTGTGTATCAATAATTTAACAATCACAGAATTTTTCAAAGCAGCATATTTTTAAAATTCCCAATAGTGTTAAGTGTCATCGTGCATTTCTCCCACTGTTTCTTAATTCATGATATAAATGTTTATTTTTCAACTTTTGATGACATCTTTTTTATTTGTCCTTTTAGCTTTGTTTATTATACATCTTTCTTTGCAATTATGCCATAGAAAATTAAGCATCAAAGTCACAAAATTTTTAAAAGCTACACATCTTTAGAATTCTTAGTAAAGTGTTAAGAGTTGTCATATATTTGTTTTATACATTGCTCGACATTGAAAATGCAACACCAAGAAGGAGTGGTCAGAAATTTATCCAAATTTTAGAGTAGACGCATGTTTCACTGAGTTATGCGAATGATGTGAAATGTGCAGCTTTCCGATGCAGGTGAAGTAAGACATAAGGGAAGGAACGTGCAGAATGGGCAATATTCATGTCATTATTTATGCCAGATGAATTATCGAAGAAAGTTGGTTTTTGTCCCGGAGGAAATGTGTAATAGGAGAGAATGCCAGGCCGCCGTCAACGAAGCCACTTCCAGCAGATATATGATTTTACGAGGGGTATGGCGATCGACTGAGAAGGGCGGGTTGGTCCTTACATCAAATCACAGCTGATACCTACATGGATGTGAGCACGGTGCATCAGCTATGGCGAATATGGTTGGAACAAGGAAATGTGGGAAGAAGGAGAGGTGCAGGTGCAGCCAGAGTGACGTCAGCACGCGTAGACCAACAAACTGTGGCGGTCCCAAAAATCACTTTTACTGCGATTCTGCAGCATGTGCAAGATACCCTGGATGTTCTCGTGTCAACCAGAACCATTTCCCGTCGATTGGTTGAACGTGGCCTGCACTCACGACGTCCGTTAAGAAGACTGCCGGTGACCCCACAGCATAGACGCCAACGTTTAGAATGGTGCTGGATTGGAGCGATGTGGATGACAGAACATCATGTTCTCTGATGAGTCACGCTTCTGTTTATCCAGTGACAGTTGCCGCATATGTGTGTGACGTCGATGTGGAGACATATCTAATCTGGCAGTTACTGTGGAATGCCCTACCGTGTGACAATGTGGCATAATGGTTTGGAGTGCTATTGCCTATGATTCCAGGTCACCTCTAGTTCGGATTCAGGGCACTATGATGTCCCAATGATACTTGGATAATGTACTGCGGCTGGTGGCAATCCCCTACCTTCAGGGGCTGCCTAATGCAATTTTTCTGCAGGATAACGCCCGACCACACAGTGCTCGCATCTACCAACATGCTCTGCAAGGTATACAGATGCTTCCCTGGCCACCGTACTCTCCTGACCTGTCACCAATCGAACATGTGTGGGATGTGATTAGATGCCGTTTGCAGACTCTGTCCCTGCCTCGTTCAGAAGACGAACTGTGGCAAATGGATAAAAGGGAATGGAGAGCTATCTCTCAGGACACCATCCGCACTCTTATTGACTCTATTTCTTCGTGCATCACTGTCCGCGGTGGTCCTACATACTACTGAGCCGACGTCGTTCTCGCTCTGTATTCTGACTATCATTTTGAAATAAAGATCACTTATTGCTGCTTGCAGTCTCTGTCTTTTTTCCAAATTTCATAATTTTCTGACCACTCCTTCTTGGTGTTGCATTTTCAATGTCGAGCAGTGTATTTACTACATTATTTCTCTAAAAATAATACATAGCAATAATATTTCGTGGCAGAATCATTTTTATATGAAAATTGATTTCACACAAAATTGAAACAGACATAAAATTGAGGGTTGAGGATTATTTTAATATAGTTTTTCAATGAAAAATGTTATGAGCCTCAGGTAATGTACTACTTCCAGTTGTCCATTAAAACCTGTTATGGCCTTCATGCAAAGTACCACTTCAGGTCATCCAGTTTTACCCCAAATCCAACACATTTTTTATATGAATGCAGAAAATTTTAATTTGGAAAATGGAAAGTTTTCGAAGTTTGATAAGTTATCATGAATGAAAGAATCGACGCACATGCGCAGATAGACAGACATCATTCTTAAAACTGTAAAACATTTCTGTAGGGACCCTAGTTCATACTTATTTACTAAAAACTCGCTGTGGAATTTTTGACCAAAAATGTTACCTCCCTGTATGTAGGTTGGCAGGACATAAAAGATTGGTGAATATAAGATTTGGTACATTTTGTCATGAATTTTACAGGTGTGGCGAGAATTTCCAGACAGGATAGTTGGATTCCCTTCAAGAGTTCATCTGTGGGATAATACCACAAAGAAATGGAAATATGAATCAGAATGGACTAATGAAATATCAATGGTTTTAACTGGAGCTGCTTTTTATCATAAGGTAAATAAGAAAGTTTCAAAGTGTTCAAAACTAATATTTTATTTCTAGAATTTAAAAATTTTAATAATATCCTAAAATTCCTAAATTGTGATGCATACTTTAAATATTTAAAATCTAGAATTTCCCCCCTCCTTTATTAAACATATCTTTAAGTTTGCCATATATTTCTAATTTGTTTCTTAATATTCGAGTTATTATTTCGTAGGCTTTGAGAATAAAATTGTGCATTAGTTTAGTATGTATAAATACCCCCTTCATTTATTCATTATAATATTTAGAGTATTTATCTTAAATTTAAAAGCTCATATGAGCAGAAATTAAAAAAATGTTTTTCCTTATTTGAATTTAGTAGTTTATGAAAAGTATTTGTTATGAAAGGCATTCAATAGGGAACATTAATGAAACTGTATTTTGCTACATAATTTTTAATAAGGTCAAAAAATTCCTAAATTGTGATGCATATTTAAAAATTTGAAAGTTTTTTTTTCGTCTCCTTCACTGAGCATATCTTTGCCATATATTTCTAATTTGTTTTCTTAATATTCCAGTTATTATTTTGAATTGTGCATTAATTTATTATATACAAGTAAAAATACCCCCTTCATTTATTCATAATAATATTCAGTGCATTTATCTAAAATTTAAAAGCTCATATGAGCAGAATTAACAGAAAATTCCCATATTTGAATTTAGTATTGTATGAAAAGTATTTGTTGTGACAAGTATTCATCAGGGAACACGAATGAAGCTGTATATTGCTACAGCAGCTTTTAGATAAAGTTTTTTTTGTATTTATCATCCATAAACATTCCTAATAAATAACATTTGTATTTTTTTGTAAAATAATGTTTGCAGTAATTTTGAGACCTTTTTTAAATGGTCAAATTATGTATTATTTAGAAAATATTTGAGTAATGAAGGAAGATTAAAAATATTTTAATATTTAAACTATCAGATTTTACATCATCATCAGTGATTTTCAAACAAAGAATATGTATCTGTCCATTTACTTTTGGGATTATTGTATGCATTTGTATAGGCATTATAGAAAAAGTGGTTTTGAATTACGAATGAATACATGAGCTACAACTGGAGAATAAAGCTGAATGCCATTAAAGTCATATTTTTTTTACAAAACAACAAAATTACTTACAGTGACAGAAAAAAGGGGTTACAGCTGAAAAAATCACGGAAAACATAGTGGTACAAAATATCATGGTCGAAAATAAAGCAGTTAGAAACCTTCGCAGTTTCAAAACATCGTCGTCAAAAATATTGCGGTAAAAAATAAAGTACTTACAAATCATCGCATGACAATAACATCGCATACATGTGTTTCTCAAATCGCATAGTGACATATTATGTAACTGACTTTCGTCATAACTAACAAATCGACTTGCAAAAAATTGATTGCACGCCATACATGACAATATTAACAACAATTTAAGAATAAACGGAAACAAAACAATATGTAATTTTCATTAAAAGAATATCAGACTAGCAAATGTGAAAGAAAATAATTTGATAATTAGCTAAGCAATTTTTATGGATGTAACCTCATGCAGTTATTTATCTTCTTTTTTCTAAACATATTTAGACTGTATTTTTCATGAAAAATTATCAGTAAATCTCAATAAAAAAGGCTCAATTTATTAATGACTTTTGTTAGTTAATTATGTAAGTTTTAAATTCTACTAAGCTTTTTAAGCTGCATTAATTTTCTACTCATTTTAAATTTTTAAATGCTTAAGTTTCCTTCTTATTTTTTCAGCAAAAATTTATTAGTTCATTCAAATATATGAAATATAGAAGGGTGATCTTTATATGAACATGAATTTTCAACTATCAAAACCTGAAAACACATGTGCGATGTTATCGTCATGCAATGATTTGAAGGTACTTTATTTTTTACCATGATAATTTCAACGACGATGTTTTTAAACTGCGAAGTTTTTGAACCGCTTTAATTTCAACCACGACATTTTGTACCATGATGTTTTAGAACTGCAATTTCTCTGCGATGTTTTATCCCATGATGTTTTGTACCATGAAGTTTTCATCTGCGATGTTTTTGCTGTTGACGTTTTGGCGGACACCAGAAAAGGAACACCAATACTTTCTCATCATCTCTGATGGTTAGACATATATAGTCTCACACTCCCATTCTAGTTTGACGCAGAATGCATTACATATTGTATAAAAGAGAATTTATATAACTGCCACAGATTTGGTTACTGTTCTGCGTAATTGGCCAGGACTTCCTTCGTCTTTGTAATGAGTGCCTTTTCTTTGATGATATGTGTTCGGTACGGATTGTGTCATCACAGTTGTCTGGAAGTCTGAGATGATGGTTAGGTATCAGTGGACAGCTCAACAAATAATAATCGAGATTTTCTGTTTTCTTTTCCTAGTGCATATGTCTTTGTCCATATCACATATGTAACCTTTACAAAAATAGATTGGGAATGGGCCGAGATTTGTAATACAGCATGTTAGTTGTGCTGTGTATTTATACATCATTTGTTGCTGTTGCTTGGAAAGAAGGTTCTATGGCTTTGTGGTGCATGGTTGTCTTTATTTTACCATTTTGCTTTAACTAAGGTATTGACAACTCATTTAAGGTGGAAGTGCGACAGGAGTAGGTTTTGTGAATTTGCTTTAACACTTTCATCGCGAGGGATGAAATAACCAGGAATATTCTCTATGTGCCAGGGATGAGATAACTTGTCCTCTACTCAAGGTTTTTCTATATTATTGCAGTGTGTCCCATGATTTATTTTCATCGACATTTTAGCGTGTAACAGACCCTAATATTTTGTCTTTACAACATTTCTACAAGGTGGCGCCAGGAGCACAATTTGTAGTGCTTTCACTTTTATTACAATTCTCATAGGTTCTCTTTCACTTTTATTGAGTTTCTCATTTTCCTTTTCTTACGTTTCTCGTTCACATTTATTACGTTTCTTGTTTTTTTTCCCCACTTTTATTACGTTTCTCGTCTTTCTTTTAGTACATTTCCCATTCTCTTTCATAAATCCTCTGACATGTCATGCATGGAAGGACATTACTTGGATATAACAACATCAACTTAAGTAAGGTTACGCCAACACAGAAGTGTGTCGAATGTAATTCGCATAACGAGTCCTCTGTGCAAAACATGCACATCAAAACTAGTATTATGTATAGTATCTTGTTTTGAAATATATCGTAGTTCAGAGAGATTCTAATTTATGCAATATTTAGGATTTTTATTTTATTGTTATTTTTATGTCTGCAAACACAAATAAATCATTATAGTGAGAGTAGTTATTGATTGCAATAGATTATTATTTTTGAAAGTAAAATAAACATGTTTTAAAGGAATTTGTATTTTGTTTCAGTTTTAGCATTGCGGAGAGCAGCACAGACTTTTAGCGCATAGGGATGGGACAAAGGCGCGCGCCACTGCCGCGATGGAAATGTTAATGCTGTAAGCTGCCTTTTTTGCTAGTGCATCTGCTTCTTGATATCCGGCATGTGCCTTTCTGCAGTAGAGATAAAAACTTTTTACTTGGAGCATCATATGATCCTTTAAATATTATTGATGATTGGAGAACTGTGAACTGGATTTAGGATGGCATGTAACACTGAGAGATAGTCATTGTAGATACTGGCATTGTAGTGTCTATTGGTTGCTGCATCAGTTATTGCTATTGTTAATGAGTGCACCTGTGTCTGGAAGGTACTATTGTTTAATGATAGTTGTGCTTTCTATGTGTAACATTCTTGTTCATTGTGTACTGAATAAATGCACAGTCAATTCCATTGTCTAGTTGTGTGGTACTGATAATTTATATTGAGTGTGCTTGGCTGTTATTGTAAATACATGTCTGCTGCAGACTGATGGCTCTGTGAATACATAGCTGGTTGTTTCATGTTTCATGTGTATGTTGGTGAAAAAAAAATGTGGAATTGTGTTTGTTTTCATAACTGGAGAATAAATTGTGGTGCAGAGGTTCATTTTATCTGTACATGCAGCAGTATGAGACCTGCTGGAATATCTGCTGCAGCTGTAAAACTTGTATGGGTAGACATGCGTAATATTGATAGTAAATAGGCTTTGGTTGCTTGGTGATGCTTTAGTGTGCTACCTTGCATTGGTGTTTCCCAGACTGCATTTTTTAAAGTCTCCTCCCCCAGCAACTGTTGTATAGAGGATTTTCTATAGCTCTGTATTCATGCATTTTTTGGCACCTTGTATTTGCTGAATTTTGTGTGTTAATTCTTAGTGCGCAGTTTTTGAGGTCTGTTTTGTGTGGTATCTAGGTAAGACCCGTGTCTCATGTCAGCTCGAGATATTTGAATATCTTGGTTTTAATTTTATGACTCTTAATTTCTAATCTGGGCTTATTTATGAATTTGGTGTCTTTTTAGGAAGTGTGAGTGCAGTGGATTTTGTTTCAAAAGTGTGAAGCTCTGTTTATGTGCAGTGATCATAGTTTTCATCATCATCCTCACTTGTTTGATTTCTATGATGTTTCAGTTCATTGCTTGTCCTTCCTCCAATTATGAATACTGTATCATCGGCATAGGCAATAATTGAGGTGTGACTACTCATTCTGCTTTGATAATGTTGTTGCAAGTTAGTTTCCTTAAGATATTTCCAACATATGAACCTCATGGACAATCTGTATCCTGCATTTTGCTGATTGGGCCAGTGGTAAATATTAGGTGTAATATACTGGTCAAGTAATTTTCAAGATGAAATAGATGTTGTTGGGGCATTAAATTACATATGCAATAAAACCTGTCATGACAGCCTGAGTTAACAGTCTCACCTCCGAGTTAACCTTCTCTGGTATAGTACAAAGTTCGAAATCCGGACTCGTCGGGACTTCAGTGATTCCGGGTTTGGGATTTTTCCGGATATTGGATCATCAGTTTAAATCTAGTAAGATGGCATATAGAAATTATAAAATTAATAATATGAAACATGATTTACGGAATAATGACGTATTTATGATCTAAGGGTATCAAAATTTACGAAAAAAAGCTTAATATTTATTTGTTTACCTTATTAAACACTTCTTTCAATGTAAGTTGTTTAAGTTGCTTTGTTTTTTATGCTAATACTTTCTCTTTCATTCTGTAGACAGACATAATCTCTTGTTTAGTTACATTGTTGAAGTCCTGTAACTGCTGTGTCGAGAATTCTGACTAACTTGTCAATCGAAATTTTTTCATTTTCAGTAACTTCTCTGTCACTTTCTTGACTATCCATATTTTCTGGATCATACTATAAATTTCACCATTCATGAATTGATTGATGATTAAGAAGGCGTTATCATCACAATGAAAAACTTCTTTTATATCATCTTCATTTACTACCGCTTCTCCACATTTCTTTACAAAATCCGTTGATTGGAAAATTTCACCTTTGTTTTGCAATATCCAAAAACCTTTAAAATGAGGGCTATCATCATCAAATTTAGCTATCGTTCACTATACATATTTGGCTATGCAACATGAGCTTGGCGACTAATGACAAGTTCCGTTAAATTTTATCTTGCTTCTATCCTGCACTGAGACAATTAAGCCTGAATTGTATTAGTTTAGTTATTTATTATACTTATGTCCATTTCTTGCATATGCTTAAGGCTTATCAGAGTTCTGAATAAATAAATTCCCACCATATACTTAAGCCTTTTTGAGGGCCCACGCTATATCTCACCACCTGATGCAGTCTCTGTGGGTGTTGCATCAGGTTCTTCTATTTACAATAAAATTAATGTAAAATGCCTTACATGCTGCATCTTCAGTGTTCTTGACGCCAGGCTTCTAATAATCACGTTTCCAGTAAGACTTTCTATTAGAATTAACAGGTCATCTTTGTCTTTTACTTATTTATTGAAATAAGACACTAATATACACTATTTACAAGGTAGAATTATTCTAAGACAGTACATTTTAATTCTGAATGAAGTTTCATCTTTACGCTCCTCAGAGCGGTTCCAATCTCGTCTCGTCCTCGGAACTCAGTTACAGCAAAAGTAAAGGAAGAGATGCCCGCCATCTAGTGGCAAGAATGTGACATCCTCCCACCCTTTGATTTTACCTCGATAAGATGGGAAAATCAAAACAAAATTTATCAATAATCAAACAAAAATTTAAGTAGAACTTTCACAAATATGAAAAGTAACTAATGCTCTAAAATTAATACTTACAAAGAAGGATTACACATCTAAACATTTTCTGCATTACATTCATACCATATCCAGATAACATGTTCCAATTGACTACTGTTAGGACAATTAAATTTCTAAAATACTGAAAAGAAACAAAAATTAGTATAGCAATTTAAAAATATGTAACAGGTTTTACCGTTTTACGTCCATATCTAGTTTGATAGTTCATATCACTGTCACGCTTATCGGCAGAGTTCTTTCTGTTCATGGTAAAGTCACTAAACAAGTTAGGTCTATCACGTTCGAGAGGTTAAATACGTTTCACAGGTCTTAGGAGTTCACCCATTGCAGTTTTCACTTTGACAACACGCACTTCATTGTCTTTCCCAGGATATAGTTCTACAACACGACCTATTGGCCAATCTATTCTCTTCTTGTTGTCGCTGCCAACAAACACCAAGTCATTTTTGTTGATAGTCCGAGTAGATCGTTTAGATGGTTTTTGCACTAGGATAGCTAAATATTCATCACGAAATCTTTTGCGAAAGTGTTTTCTTAATTTCTGCAAGAACTTGTATCTTTTTGTCAGATTGAATGGTATCTAGGTAGGTCTAAGTCTGGTACTCCGACGTCGTGTACATCTTGCAGAAACATTGAAGGAGTTAGTGCCGTAAGATCATTTGGATCTTCTGAAAGGTATGTAATGGGTCTTGAGTTAATCACTGATTCGATATCACAAAGTATAGTCAACATTTCCTCGTAAGAGACACAAGACTTTCCGAGAACATTTCTCAACATCTTCTTCACTGTTTGTATCCAACCTCTCCCACCAACCGCCCCACCATGAAGCAGTTGGGGGATTAAACGCTTCCACTGTATTCTCATACTAGTTGAATGACATTCTATTTCTTTCCAATCTATCGATCTTAACAGATTTTTCAGTTCCAACGAAATTAGTGCCATTGTCGCTGTAAATAATTTCTTGGACGACCTCTTCTGGCAATAAATCTCCTTAATCCCAAGATGAACGCATTTGTTGATAGACTTTATATCAACTCAAGATGTATCGCGCGATAGACTGCGCAAGTAAAGAGCAAGATCCATGGCCTTTTTTCTTTTCCTTAAATAAAGAGGACTAGCTACATCGACTCCGGTCACTTCAAACACCAGAGCATCTGTAACTCGATCTTCAGGAAGAGGTGCTGGAACAGTCTCTATAT